CATCATCATCATCATCATCATAATCTCATCTCATCAATCATCATCATCATCAGCATCATCATCATCATCATCATCAATCATCATCATCGCATCACACCATCATCATCATCATCATCATCATCATCATCATCATCATCTCAGCATCATCATCATCATCATCACATCATCATCATCATCATCATCATCATCATCATCATCATCATCATCATCATCATCATCCTCATCCTCATCCTCATCCTCATCCTCATCCTCATCCTATTCCTCCTCCTCCTCCTCTTCGTCCTCGTCCTCCTCCTCTTCCTCCTCTTCTTTCTTCTCCTCTGCCTCCTCCTCCTCCTTCTTCTCCTCCTCCTCCTCGTCCTCCCCCTCCTCCTCCTCATCCTCCTGAGTTTCCTCCTCATCCGCCTCCTCTTCCTCCTCTTCCTCCTCCTCCTCCTAGTCGATTATCGAACCTCGATCCTCGATCCTCGACGTCCAAGAGGTGGTGATCTCGCCACTGGTGGCCCCCCAAGCTTGGCACTGCCCGACCTGCCCCTCCGTGGCGCCCTCCCAGCCGCCATGCCACAGCTCCTCGGAGCACCGCCGCGCGCGAGATGCCAACAAGACAGGGGGGAGAACTCCCAGGCAGCACGCGGCCGCTCCCCGACCCTGTCCATCATCTCGCATCCTCCTCCTCCTTCTCCTTCATCCTCCTCCCTCCCTTCCTCTCTCCCTCCCTGCCTTCCTACCTCCCTCCCTCCCTCCCTCCCTCCCTCTCTCCTCCACCCTCCCTCCACGCTCCCTGGCCCAAGGTGACCGTATGGTGGTCCTAGGGTGACCCAGGTGACCCCCAGAGCAGCACTCACGAGGCCCAAAGGGCCCCAGGAGCTCCAAAAGGTAGCGGGAAGCTGGGGGGCACTCTGGGCCAAGAACACCTTTGGCAACGCCCGAAGTGTGGTGAGGGTGTCCAGCACCGACCCAAGAAAATCCACGCGGACCTCCGAGAATCTACGTTTATGGAACGCACAAGGCTTAAGGACATACTGAAAGTATGCACTCCGCTTGTAGCCGCACGTTCGACCAATGTACATGGCACAACAATGCTATAGTACATCGTTGACCACGCGGCATGGCTGGACAGCGCCCGCGACTGACTACACACTAGAACCTTTCTGAGCGTTCGCGTCGCTCCCGCGGGGCCGGGCCGGCCTATACATCGCATAAACATGTTGAGCGATAACGGTTTCATGCTGTCGTTCGGCTCCCGATCGCCGGCAAAGCCCGGACCACTGGAGGCCCCCGAAACCCCGGAAGAATCCCAGGAGACCAGAGCAGGGCCATCCGTACCTCGATCTCGATCTTCGAGACCTCGACCCTGAGACCCCGATCTTGAGACCGGAGGAGGAGGAGCAGGAGGAGGAGGAGGAGGCAGGGAGCAGGAGGAGAAGGAGGAGGCAGAGCTGGGAGTGAGGGAGGGAGGAGAAGAAGGGGGAAAGGAGGAGGAGAAGAAGGGGGACAGGAGAAAGAGGAGGAGGAAGGGGGAGGAGGAGGAGGAGGAGGAGGAGGAACCCAAATGAGCGGCCCTCGATCTCCGAGACCTGGAGCTTGAGGCATTCCCATCCGGTGCCCTGGCGGCGTGCTGTGCTCGCAGCGCAGGCCCAGGGAGGCATGGCTCCCTCTCCTTTTTTATGACCAAGGCAGCCCGTGCGGCACGAGCCGATCCTGCCGCCAACAAGGCGAGAGCCGCAAAATGCGGCCAGGAGGCTCCGCAAACAGCGGCCTCCAAGTTGCAGCACACTCGCCACGCCACGTGGGTGTGCAATGCGGCGCCTCCCACAAAAGGTGAGAAGCAGAAAGCGCCCAGAGGCTACCGCAACAGCTCGAGGAGTGTCGCCGCGGCAGCGGGCGCGCTGGGTCAGCGAGCGGCACGGCGGGCGCGGCGCGAGCCCTCGCCGTCGATGCGTCTGGCCGCCTCTTCGATGGACTCAGGCTCCCAGACCGCGCCTCCGTGCCAGGCCCCAAGATCAGCGAGAAGCCGTCTCACCCAGCGGAGCCCCTCGCGCTGCTGGGCAGGCGTCGGGGGCACCTCCACCCCAGCTGCGGCATCGGCGGCCTGCCAGCCAGGTCTGCGGAGGTCGCGGTCGTCGATGGGCACCGCGGCACCCTTGACGACCTGAAGTCGGAGTCGATCGAGGCGAAGGCGAGCACGAACCGCCGCACCAAGCTGGGGAGCGGGCGCGAGGGCCGCGGCGTCCCCCACCACCAGCTCCAGCACGTCACCGTGCACCTCCTCCACGACCTCCTCCTCGGGCCCTTCCTCGAGCCCGTCGGCAGAGATGAACACCACGGAGGCGTCTCCCTGCCCGTCGTCGACGTCGTCAGCCGCAGCGCCGACGGTGAGAGCCTCGGGGCCCTCCGCCACCACGAAGTCCGCGTCACAAGCCGAAGGGGGCGCGCTCGAGGCCGCGCTCGCGCCCGCCGCGGAGTGGTTGAAGCCGTCCAGCTCCTTCAGGCCGCCTCCGAACTCGTGGCAGGCAAGCTGCCTGGCCGAGCCCTGCTCCGCATGCTCGAGGTCCCCTTTCCACCAGCGGGGCCCCGAGGCGAGCGGGGCGGGCACGGGGGCAGCCGAAAGACGCGCTCGATCAGCGAGAGCGAAGCGGGCGCCCGCTGGGAGGCTGCGCCCGCGGCGGCAGGCGACCTCCCAGGAATCCGACACGCCCTCGGCGGCCGAGCGAGCCGCGGGCTGGCGCCGGTGGGGCAGGGCGCCGGAAGCCCCGCGAGGCGGCCGCAGCCGCACCGGAGGCCCAGCACCAGCAGGGCAAAGAGGAGGAAGATCTCCACGGCCTCGAACACCAGCGCTGCGACCGTGACGAGGCTGCCCCCCATGCCGACCCCGCCGTGCCCTCGGAGCAGCCGAGCGTTGCAGGCGGTTGAGCGCCCGCTGAGATAGCCTGCGCACCTCCGCCGCCGAGATCGTCGGGTTGTGGCTGACCACGTTCCGACGCCCGACGTCCAGGGTGGCTGCAGGCTCGTTGAGGAGGTCCGCCGCCATGACGGGCGCGACCAGCGCCAGCCTTGCGACGACCTCGGGGACCGCAGCGCGGAGCAGCGGGTCCCTCTTGCCGTCCAGGTCCGCGGAGTCCTCGCACAAGCTGTCGACGTCGCCGCCCGAGCCAGCACCAGGAAGACCACCACCGTCATGGACAGCATCCGCCGCAGGGGCCGCGGAGCCGCGGGCCTCCTGCGCGGCTGCGCGCGCCGCAGCCGTGGCCACCGCCTGGCTAGCGTCCAGCGCGTGGCCCAGCTCCGCCTGGAGCCGCACGCACTCCGCCTCGAGGACGGTCACCCGCGCCAGGGCCGCCTGCAGCCGCCCAGCGCAGGCAGCGCGAGCCGCCGCCTGCCTGGAGCGCCTCGCGGGCCAGAGGGAGCCCCCAGCGCATGGCGGCTCAGCAGCCGCACGGGCTGCTTGGCCGCCGCCCGCAGCCATCTCCCCAAGCTTCCGATCACTGCGGCCTCCCGCGGGGCCCAAAACGAGAGCGAGCAGAATGGGAACGGCTGAGCCAAAATGGCTACGGAGATGGCTCCCTCTCCCGGGGCTGGCTCTTCTTGGGAACCCCCAAACCGGGTGGTGAGATACCAGGTGGCGACCTGGAATCCCCAAAAAGGTCACCGCTGGGTTTGGGGACGCGGGGTCACCACCGGGTTTTGTGACTCCTGGACCCACCAGTGTCCGGGACATCCTCGGAAACCGCACGAGTCCCCAAACCGGGTGGTGACACCAAATCGCCCGAGACTCACCGCCAGGTGTTGTCACCACCACGTTTGGGGACTACCAATCTTCATCCCGAACCGTTCTGCTTCGGCCCGGGGGCCCGGCATGGGGGCCCCCAGAAGCCAGACAACTGCCAAAAACAGGCCGTCGTTCTGGAGGCGTTGGGACATGGACACCAGCACCAGCGGAAGGGGGGGGGGCACGGAGGGAGAAGGTAGAAGTACTGGTGGCACTTTTCGGCCACCAAAGAGGTCGGGGGTCATCGTCCCGCGGTGAAGCACACGCTGATATTGATGTTGGTGCCATCCTCTAGGCATCCTATCGCGTTTCCCTGCTGGCGTTTCGCTAAAGGTTCTACCAAACATGACGTTATCCTGGCGAGGAACCCAACCATATGCAATTGTGGGTACCGCATACGTGAGCCCCGCCTTCGGTGGAGCTCCCTGTGGGGCCACGAAACGCGTGAGGGGTGTGCCGAAAAGGGTGCTATGGCGCCATGCGAACCCTGCCGGCGGGACCTTCGATGGAGCTCCCTGTGGGGTCACAAAACATGTGAGGGGTGCGCCGAAATAGGGCGGGGCCGCCATGCGAACTTTGCCACTGGGGCCTTCGGTGGAGCTCCCCATGGGGCCACGAAACGTGTGAGGGGTGTGCCGAAATGGGCGCGGTGGCGCCATGCGAACCCTGCCACTGAGGCCTTCGGTGGAGCCCCCTATGGGGCAGCGAAACGTGTGAGGGGTGCGCCGAAATTGGGCGGCGCCGCCATGCCAACTGTGCCACTGGGGCCTTTGGCGGAGCTCCCCATGGGGCCCCGAAACGTGTGAGGGGTGCGCCGAAATGGGGCGGGGCCGCCATGCGAACTTTGCCACTGGGGCCTTCGGTTGGGCTCCCCATGGGGCAGCGAAACGTGTGAGGGGTGCGCCGAAATGGGGCGACGCCGCCATGCCAACTTTGCCACCGGGGCCTCCGGTGGGGCTCCCTATGGGGCCACGAAACGTGTGAGGGGTGCGCCGAAATGGGACGGGGCCGCCATGCGAACTTTGCCAATGGTGCCTTCGGTGGGGCTCCCTATGGGGCAGCGAAACGTGTAAGGGGTGCGCCGAAATGGGGCGGCGCCGCCATGCCAACTGTGCCACTGGTGCCTTCGGTTGGGCTCCCTATGGGGCAGCGAAACGTGTGAGTGGTGCGCCGAAATGGGGCGGGGCCGCCATGCGAACTCTGCCACTGGGGCCTTTGGGGGAGCTCCCTATGGGACCACGAAACGTGTGAGGGGTGCGCCGAAATGGGGCGGGGCCGCCATGCGAACTTTGCCACTCGGGCCTTCGGTGGAGCCCCCTATGGGGCCACGAAACGTATGAGGGTTGTGTCGAATTGGTGGGAACGCGGAGAACAGAGGCACGACGATGACGATGGCGGCGTTGATGACGCCGATGATGGCGATGGTGCCCACGATAATGCTGGTGGAGGTGATGATGATGATGATGATGATGATGATGTTGATGATGATGATGATGATGATGATGATGATGATGATGATGATGATGATGATGATGACGATGACGATGATGATGGTGAGAAGGGGAGGGAGTGGGCAGGAAGAGGAAGAGGAGGGAGACGCGGGGCGCTGTCTCTTCAAAACAAGGACCCAACACCACAGGATGGTTGGGAAAAACAACAAGGAATTATCCTGGCGAAGGACCCAACCATATGCAGTTGTGAATGCCGCAATTGTGTTGGGTGGTGGCGGACGCATGCGGGCGGTGCCACTGGGACCTTCGGTGGAGCTCCCTATGGGGCCACGAAACGCTGTACTGGGTGGGTGAGACGCGGTCAGCAAGGGCTGTGCTGCGTGGTGGCGGACGCATGCGAGCGGTGCCATTGGGACCTTCGGTGGAGCTCTCCCTATGGGACCACGAAACGCTGTACTGGGTGGGTGAACCGCAGGCAGGGAGCAAGGGCTGCGCAGGGTGGTGGCGGACGCATGCGGGCGGTGCCGCTGGGACCTTTGGTGGAGTTCCCTATAGGGCTACGAAGCGCTGTTCTGGGTGGGTGAAGCGCAGGGAACAAGGGCTGTGCTGGGTGGTGGCGGACGCAAACGGGCAATGCCACTGGGACCTTTGGTGGAGCCCCCTATGGGGCCACGAAACGTGTGAGGGGTGTGCCAGAATGGGGGGCGGAACCGCATGCCAGCGCAGCCACTGGGGCCTTCGGTGGAGCTCCCTATGGGGCCACGAAACGTGTGAGGGGTGTGCCATGGGGGGTGGAACCGCATGCGAGCGCAGCCACTGCTGCGTTCGGTGGAGCTCCCTATGGGGCCACGAAACGTGTGAAGGGCGTGCCGAAAAAAACGAAGTGGAAGCGCATGCGAACGCAGCCACTGAGGCCTTCGGTGGAGCTCTCTATGAGGCCACGAACCGTGTGAGGGGTGTGCCGAAATGGGGGGAACCACATGCGAGCGCAGCCACTGAGGCCTTCGGTGGAGCTCCCCATGGAGCCACCCACGAAGCGTGTGAGGGGTATGCCGAAATGGGGGGGTGGAACCGCATGCGAGCGCAGCCACTGGAGCGTTCGGTGGAGCTCCCTATGGGGCCACGAAACGTGTGAAGGGTGTGCCAGAATGGCGGGTGGAACAGCATGCGGGCGCAGCCACTGGGGCCTTCGGTGGAGCTGCCTATGGGGCCACGAAACGTGTGAGGGTGTGCCAGAATGAGGGGTGGAACCGCATGCGGGCGCAGCCACTGGGGCCTTCGGTGGAGCTCCCTATGGGGCCACGAAACGTGTGAGGGGTGTGCCAGAATGGGGGGTGGAACCGCATGCGGGCGCAGCCACTGGGGCCTTCGGTGGAGCTCCCTATGGGGCCACGAAGCGTGTGAGGGGTGTGCCAGAATGGGGGGTGGAACCGCATGCGGGCGCAGCCACTGGGGCCTTCGGTGGAGCTCCCTATGGGGCCACGAAAGCGTGTGAGGGGTGTGCCAGAATGGGGGGTGGAACCGCATGCGGGCGCAGCCACTGGGGCCTTCGGTGGAGCTCACTATGGGGCCACGAAACGTGTGAGGGGTGTGCCTGAATGGGGGGTGGAACCGCATGCGGGCGCAGCCACTGGGGCCTTCGGTGGAGCTCCCTATGGGGCCACGAAACGTGTGAGGGGTGTGCCAGAATGGGGGTGGAACCGCATGCGGGCGCAGCCACTGGGGCCTCCGGTGGAGCTCCCTATGGGGCCACGAAACGTGTGAGGGGTGTGCCATAATCGGAGGTGGAACCGCATGCGGGCGCAGCCACTGGGGCCTTTCGGTGGAGCTCCCTATGGGGCCACGAAGCGTGTGAGGGGTGTGCCAGAATGGGGGGTGGAACCGCATGCGGGCGCAGCCACTGGGGCCTTCGGTGGAGCTCCCTATGGGGCCACGAAGCGTGTGATGGGTGTGCCAGAATGGGGGTGGAACCGCATGCGGGCGCAGCCACTGGGACCTTCGGTGGAGCTCCCTATGGGGCCACGAAGCGTGTGAGGGGTGTGCCAGAATGGGTGGTGGAACCGCATGCGGGCGCAGCCACTGGGGCCTTCGGTGGAGCTCCCTATGGGGCCACGAAACGTGTGAGGGGTGTGCCAGAATGGGGGGTGGAACCGCATGCGGGCGCACCCACTGGGGCCTTCGGTGGAGCTCCCTATGGGGCCACGAAACGTGTGAGGGGTGTGCCAGAATGGGGGGTGGAACCGCATGCGGGCGCAGCCACTGGGGCCTTCGGTGGAGCTCCCTATGGGGCCACGAAGCGTGTGAGGGGTGTGTCAAAATGGGGGGTGGAACCGCATGCGGGCGCAGCCACTGGGGCCTTCGGTGGAACTCACAATGGGGCCACGAAACGTGTGAGGGGTGTGCCAGAATGGGGGGTGGAACCGCATGCGGGCGCAGCCACTGGGGCCTTCGGTGGAGAGTTCCCTCTGGTGCCACGAAACGTGTGAGGGGTGTGCCAGAATGGGGGGTGGAACCGCATGCGGGCGCAGCCACTGGGGCCTTCGGTGGAGCTCCCTATGGGGCCGCGAAACGTGTGAGGGGTGTGCCAGAATGGGTGTGGGAGGGGGGGGAGGGGGGAGGAAGGGGAGGATGAGGAAGGAGGAGGAAGGAGGAACGCGGGGCGACGTCTCTTCAAAACGAAGACCCAACACCACAGGATGGTTGGGAACAAGAAATTATCCTGGCGAAGGACCCAACCACATGCAATTGTGAATAACGCTTTGTGGGTGCCGCTTTTCGGTGGGGCTCCTTATGGGGCCAGGAAAGGCGTGTCACGAAACGCTGTCCTGGGCGTACGGGACGCATGAACGCGGTAGCACTGGGGCCTTCGGTGGAGCTCCCTACGGGGCCACGAAAAGTGTGAGGGGTGTGCCGAAATGGGTGCGGCGCCGCCATGCAAACGCAGCCAGTGGGGCCTTCGGTGGAGCTCCCTATGGGGCCACGAAGCGTGCGAGGGGTGTGCCGAAATGGGTGCGGCGCCGCCATGCCAACGAAGCCACTGGGGCCGTCGGTGGAGCTCCCTATGGGGCCACGAAACGTGTGAGGGGTGTGCCGAAATGGGTGCGGCGGCGCCATGCCAACGCAGCCACTGGGGCCTTCGGTGGAGCTCCCTATGGGGCCACGAAACGTGTGAGGGGTGTGCCAGAATGGGCGCGGCGCCGCCATGCGAACGCAGCCCCTGGGGCCTTCGTGGAGCTCCCTATGGGGGCCACGAAACGTGTGAGGGGTGTGCCCGAAATGGGTGCGGCGCCCGCCATGCCAACGCAGCCACTGGAGCCTTCGGTGGAGCTCACTATGGGGCCGCGAAACGTGTGAGGGGTGTGCCGAAATGGGTGCGGCGCCGCCATGCCAACGCAACCATTGGGGCCTTCGGTGGAGCTCCCTATGGGGCCACGAAGCGTATGAGGGGTGTGCCGAAATGGGTGCGGCGCCGCCATGCCAACGCAGCCACTGGGGCCTTCGGTGGGCTCCTATGTGCCACGAAACTGTGAGGGATGTTCCCGAGTGGGTGACGGCGCCGCTGCGCCAACGGCAGCCACTGGGGCCTTCGGTGGAG